AATACAAAATTATTAATTGGATGAACTCATTTATTAAAAGAAAATGACTCAGATTGGAGCAAAAAAGTCAAACCTGTTAAGAGATGCATCTAAAAATGGGACCAACAAATAATAATTTAGTAAATATTTTAGGCTTTGTGGTACAACTACTAGTTCTACTGTTACAGCATGAAAGCAGTCATATACAATGTGTAAATGAATGAACAGGACAGCCTTCCAATAAAACTTTATTTACAAAAACAGGCAGCGGGCCAAATTTGTCTTATAAGCCAGTGTTTGCTGACCTGTGATCTAAAACAGTGCCTCAGAAAACCTGAGAGTAAAATGATGGGCAAAGACTTAACCAGCAAGTTCACATCCAAAAAAATGGAGTCCAGGTATTAGTGTCAGACAAGGTTGAATTCAAGACAAAAAGCATCAATTGAGTTACATTTCCTAATGATAAAGAGTGACAGTCTAGTGATCATGAATCTCTGTATCAAATAATACAGCTTTAAAATTTATAAAATAAATACAAGGAGAAACAAATAAGATGATAGTAGGAGATTTTGATTCATCTCTTCCAGCTCTTGGTAGATAGAGAAAGCAAACGAAATAAGTAATAACATAGTGAATGTTAATAGCATGATATATGATACAACTAACAACATACCCTGGAAACAACGAATACTCTTTCCCAGGAATATCTTAGTCCCCAAATAAAAACTCAGTCAAATCCAAAATCAGAAATATATGCAGATTATGCTCCTTCTTTTTCTTTTTTCCTTGTGAATTTGTTTTTATTAGGATATAGGGGATGGGTTGAGAAATATCTCCGTGGGTTATGACCCACCAGGGAAGTGTCCATTCTGATCTTCCTGGGATAGCTTTTAGAACTTTTCCTTAGAGCTGCTATTCTTGCTGCCAGCAAACTCTAAGGGTCCACTGCTGAGTGGCTGCTCCTTGGAAGAGAATTTCCTCTTTTTCTTGGGGGCACTCTTGTTTCTGACTTCAGGGTCACTAACTGGTTCCTCTTTGGGGAACGATTTCTTCCTCTTGGGAAGACTTCCACTGCTAGCTGTCTCTTCAAGGCCACTGCTAACCAGCTTCTTGATTTCTTTTTCTTGGGTTTGGAGAAAGAGGTGGGTCTTCCATTCCATTCTCCTGAGGAGCCTACTGGGGCTTTTGCTTTTCTTCATTTGGGGTCTTACGCTCCTGGGAGGCAGCCGAGGACTTGCTCAGGGGATGGGTGTGTGCTGCAGTCAGCTCTCTGGGATCTCAGCAAGGTCTCAGCACCGTTGTCCTTCCTCACATTCCTCTACACTCCTGCTGTTTTCTCAAGGTGTGAGGGCAGTTGCAGCCAGCTGTTTCTCTTTTCCTTTTTCAAGTGTTTCTTCTGTTTCTCCAGCTTCCTTGTAATCTCAGCAGCTATTCTCTGCCTGAACCATTGCCTCCTTCATGACATCCATTCTTTTGTGGAATCTCTCCAGTCTCATAAGACAGCCGTTCCTCGACTTATTTGTGAAGCTTCTCCCCAAATACGCTTGTGGGCACCTCAGAGAAGCAATCAATTCATGAAGCAGTACTGCGTTCGTTTGCTAGGTGTCTGGAGATGCAGCCTTTGTTCTTGGCAGCTGCTAGGCCATTGAAGGTGGAGTGGAAAATAAGTCCATATTTTGGGGTGTTACCCCTTGTCTTCAGAGCTCTGGAACCTTGGTTCCTTTGTTGGGCCCAGAGAATCACTCAGACACCAGTATGCTCCTTTTTTTTTTTTTTTTTTTGTGGGATCTTAATTCCCTGACCAGGGATTGGACCTGGGCCCCCCAGCAGTGGAAGCACGGAGTCCTAACCACTGGACCGCCAGGGAATTCCCAATGCTCCTTGTTCTTAACTAGCACTAAAACAAAGGGAAGCATAAAACTCTACCATCTGAAAAAATTAAGTAACTCTTGGGTCAAAGGAGAAATAAAAAAATAAAATCCAAATCAACTAGAAAGTATTGATAATCAGAATTCTGTGTATTAGTACCTATGGGATATGATTAAAACAGTACTCAGGAAAATTCATAGATGTAAACAAATTACTAAGCAAGAAAAGAATGAAAATAAAAGAATTCAGCCCAAGAAGTTAACAAAATAATAAAATAAATGGAAAGAAAGCAGAAAGAATGAACATATAAAAGCAGAAATTGATGAATTAGAAAATACATGGAGGTGCTGATAAATCCAAGAGGTTTTTGTTTTGTTTTGTTTTTGTTTTTTGGGGGAGGATATTGGTAAAAATATTAAACAGATAAACTCCTGTTGAGCCCAATCATGAACAAAAGGAGAAAGCACAAATATCACGTATGTGTATGGACATACACAGAATACGAGAATAAGTCACAGATATTTAGAAATTTAAACGTAAGAGGTCACATTGCTAAATTGTATGCAGATAAACTTGAAAACCTGATCTGCACAAAACACTAGTAGGCCCAGGCAACTTTCTAAGTAACATTATAACTACAATGCTTTTTAACTGTTCAGGAACATAGATTCTATAAATTGTTTTTTAAAATATTAACACCTAATTCTGCCAAAGCACACAAAAAAACTCTAGACATTCTCAAAATACAAAAATCAGAAATCCTCAATATTAGCAAATGTAACTCAGCCAGACATTAGAAGAAAAATGCATGATGACCAAGTTGCTTTCATCCCAGGAGTGTAAGAAGAGTACAGTATCAGGAAATACTAAATACTAAATATTTTTAGTACATATTTTTAAAAGTACAAAAGAGAAAAATGATCATTTCCCTAGAAGCTGGGAAAGAATTCAGTAAAAATTAACCATCAATTCTGAGGTTTTTTTAAAAAAGAAACAACTTTTAATAAAGTAGGAATTTCTTAATACTTCTTTAACATCACACAGGAGTCAGCATTATTGCTGCCATTGACTCGAAGCAGTTCTCACTTAAAGTTAGGAGTACCAGTGGTTGCTATTACTAACATTGTTCCAGTAGTTCTAGCCAATGCAAATAGGAAAAAAGAAGATGCATAAACATTGGAAAGACAGGGGGAATCATCAATCTTGATAGATATGATGTCACCTAGATAGAATATGTCAGTAAAAAGTGAACGTTAACCCTTCATATGATTTATAAAATATTCTCATACATATATAGGCTACTGTTTTCATAATGGCAGTTACTTTTTTCAGTCACTTATTTCCAGCCTATTTATTTCCTGAAGTTCATGTAGATTTACTTGGACTAATTCATGAAAGATTTATGTTTGCCAGGTGGATGAGCAGGCCAAAGAGAGGGTGTAAAAATGAAACAGCATGGGTTTGCTTTGAAATAATTTCCTGTCCTGAACATCCAGACCTTCGGGGCAGCTAAATTTAAATTTTTAGTCCAACTTTTCTTCCTTGCCTCCTGATAAAGTGAAAAGGGAAAGCTATTATTTTTGTTTTACATTGATGTATGATTAGGTTTACTCAGTAATAAATGTGATTTTTATTAACCAGGCTAATGTTTCAGATTTTTCTTTTTTTTGCTAAAGTAAGTGTAATGCTTCTCAAAGGTAATACAAATTCTCTACCTTTATCATCAGCAGGTAAAATGTAGTGATAATAAGAACATTTATGAGTAATAACTTGTATTTCTTCAGTGCTTAACTTATACAAGGCATGGTACTTCGCGTGTTGCGTGCTTTTATCATTGGATCCTTAGAGCAACCTGATAACATAGCTACTAATATTATCCCTATTTTACAGATGAGAAAACTGAGGTTAAATGATTTGTCTCAAGGTGAATACTGTAGTTACCTTGGCAGATAATCAGACTTGAGCAGACTTATCTTCTGACTCTTCAAGGATTTATGTATCTTGTCATTCACTGGTGTAAGGAGTTTCATATTTAGTTTTGGAAGTGAGAGAGTGTTTCTTGAGTTTCTCTGTAGCTGGTACCTAAGCTGTTCATCAGCTGTCTGGGTGACTTCTGGAATGTGGAGAAGGTGGGTTATACCAGTGGTCCCCACCCTTTTTGGCACCCGGGACCAGTTTCGTGGAAGACAATTTTTCTACGGACCAGCGGGGTGGTGGGGTTGATAGTTCAGGTGGTCATGTGGGCGATGGGGAGCAATGGGGAGTGGCAGATGCAGCGTCGCTCGCTCCCCGGCTGCCCACCTGCTGGGCCGCGGGTTCCGTCACGGGTCCACGGCCTGGGGGTTGGGGATCCCTGGGTTAGACCACAGCAGCCCCCTATGTCCTGGTGTGACAGATTAGTTGTTTCAGTTTCATTGCAGACTATATGGTGTTATGGTACATAAATGTTACTGCTGGACCTTTTGTGTGTAGAGAGATAGTGACTATTGCGTGATTGCTTCCTTCTGTTTTCTTCTTAAACCTCCAAAGACTCATAAGCCATGATAATTATACTATAGCACAGTGTGCTGCAGAGCACTCGACTGAATGGTGGAAATGTGGTGAATAGTCTTTGGACTCAAGAAATTTACAGTCTGGATGGGATAGGTAGGGGGGAATATTAGAGGGAAAATGACTTTTTAAAACAGGAATTTGTTCTTTTTTTGCAGTTTATAGAAACATTTGTTATAAGCTGCTAAATATTTTGCCAACATATCAAAAAATGTAGAAGTTCTGGGGGAAGTTTTGGGTCTATGAGCTCATTCCGTTGTCATTTTAAAGAGACCTGGGTCCTGAAAATAGGCAGAGCATGCAACCGTCAGTAGTGAAAAAAGTGACTTGCCACCTTACGACATTAGTTTGGTGGAAGAGCCCTGCTGCTTTGAGTTATTTACAAAACTTAACCAAAGCAAAAATTATTTAGTTCAATTTGGAGTGGTAGGGCAACTTAATATTTTATAATGTGTCTTATTATTTGAATTCAATATTGAGATGTTGGATTACAATGAAGAATCCATCCAGTTAGGAAGGGTGATATCCTAGTATTTTACTTCCCAGATGAGCAAGCTTTGCTTATTTCTCTTTGTTAACTAGGCCTTTTGATATTTTTGTAGACAATCTGCTTCATCTTGATTCTGCAGCATTCCAAACTGTGGTATCCTTGGGGTTCTCTTAACATTGCTATGGTGCAGAAGATTTAAAATCAGGTATGGCTGTGGGGCAGAAGTCCCTCAGTGAAATTCTCAACTTAAATCTGCATTATACTCTCTGATTTATCATTTGGGTTTCTTTTTTTGTGGTGGTCTTTTAGCTGATGTTCACAAGGAATAGAGTCACGTGATGTATGAAGGGAAACATATACACTTCTCTGAGGTTGACAATAAGCCCTTGTGCTCATATAGCCCCAAACTGTGCAAGCAGCGGCGACTCAACGGCTACGCTTTCTGTATCAGACACGTTCTGGAGGACAAGACTGCCCCCTTCAAGCAATGTGAATATGTGGCCAAGTATAATAGCCAGCGCTGCACCAACCCCATCCCTAAATCAGAGGACCGCAGGTAAGCGCTGACAGTGGGAAGCAATCTTTGATTATTAATTAGTAGGCTTGGGAGTTGGGTTTTTTTGTTTGTTTGTGTTTTGATATGATGAACTTAAATGTTGAGTTCTGGGGGTAATCTAAGTAAACTTTAGAATGGTTCTAAAGATGAGTGATGGCAATATTTAAGAAATGGAGTAGTAACTTTGGGGAATTATTTGAAAAGTATGTTTGTTTTCTTCTTTTTTACTTAATAGACTTTCTAGGATTATTTTTAAAAAAAATTTTTTTTGCTTGAAGTCTTGGCACTGATGTGTTTGGTTTGCAGCCTTAGAAAGTATTTCCTGATTTCTCTACTTAGAATTTCATCAGCCAAAGTGAGAGAAATTATAGGAACTACTTAGGTGTTATAATTAATGATAATAATTTTAGAGTTTTTAAATCTTTGTTTGAAAGGTAGCAAATGGTATGTACTTATTGAAAAAGAATTATTCAAAAGAATGATTACTTGAATCATTCAGATTTACTTCCTCTCAGACTTCTTTTGGTTAAAAAGGGTTCCATATAGACTATATTTACTATAATTTAGAAACTGTATTTTCATAGTAAAGTAGGCTTTTTGACTAGGATTATGAATTTATATTTTTCTGAGTTAAATAAAATGTGGAGGTATTTTTAAAGGAGTCTTATGCTGATTATTCATCTTTCATATTCTTAGGAAAATTTATATGATTTCACATGTAATCTCTTTTTTTCATGTCTCTTTATTCTCAGTTCTCCAGAAACCATGCTGATCATTGTAGGATATTACAGAGAGACGCATGCTTATTTTCCTAAAAGTTTCAAATACTTGTTATCTTTAGGTAGAAATTTGAACTTTTTACTTCTGTCTTTAAAAAATACATATACAACCTTTATTTTTGTTCCTATATATAAGCGAATGTCACCTACGTAAATTGGTTGAAAAGGAATCATGTATTTTATATGTCATGGTGAGCAACTTTTAAACTTTTAGGGTGAAATAAATAATTTGTGTTGATAAATATCCCACCAAAATGAGTACAGTATAATGTGGTGATTTGGGAATACTCTCGTAGAATTTCTAATGAGCACTGTAGGCTTCAGATTACAATACCTGAAAGTTAGAAACAGCTGTTTAGTTAGGAAAGGAATAAAATTTTAATCTCAGGTGAGAAAGGTACCAAGGTATTAGGCTAAGCATGTCTGTCCAGTTGGTTTTAGCTGACTGAAAATAATTTCTTACTGCTGCCCTTTTCTAACTTGAAGAATGGATGGACTTGGATTAACTTTTTTACTTCAAGATCCATTATAATCACATTTCTATAATTTTGTCTTAAATTTAGTTTATCACACACAGTTGCAATTTTTGTCAACCTTGGATTTTTTTTTATTTCAGTCGAAGCAAGTGTTATCTTAATAGCTAACAGCAAGAAGTAAAGTGAGAGTCACTCTGAATTTCTCCAAAATATTAATTCTCTGAAGCATACGTCTTCACCTTTATATTTGAAGTAATTTTCTTTTTTTAGAACAAGAAGGGAAAGGACTTTTGTGTTGCTGTGTCAAGAGAAACTAGGCTTAATAAATGCTAAGTTACATTTTTTCAGAATTGGTCCAAAATCACATGAACACAAATGCTATGATTACTTTTCTTGTTGTAGGGTTGATTGAAAACAGATTAAAGTAGACATTAGTAGGAGGTAATATTTTACCTCAAGAAACCCAGGTTGAATTCATGTAATAGTATGTTTAAACCTGTGTATAAATATAATAGTTATAACTGTACTATATGATACAATGTAGAAAAGATTAATATTCTTTTGAAAATAAGCTTTTATCATTGTTAAGGCAGTTACTCCTTGGACACTTAGGGATTTGACATGGTTTTATGTATAGTTTTAGAAAACAAATTCCCAAGGACTTTTAATTGACAGAATTATCTGGTCAGCTAGAGGAAGCTTCTTAATATCTGGTGTGTAACTTAACCTGGTGTGTATTATAAGTGCTAACTTATGGAATTCCGTCTTTTCGATAGAATAGTGTTATGTTCGGTAGAAATACTGGTATAATTGAAAAGTCCATTTTCTAATATACAGTGGGAAGCTAAGGCCCATTACTGTAGCCTTGATAGCTTAGAGATAAATGGGTATATTAAGTTGGTTATTTTATATAGTATTTTAAATTTAAGTTTGGTATAATTTTATATATATATTTATTTAATGGTATGTATTTACCAAGAAATTTTCTTGTTTCCTATATTTATTCTTTTCTAAAACAACTTAAGATATAATTCACATACCATACAAGTCACGCATTTGAAGTGTACAATTCAGTATTTGTTAGTGTATTTACAGGAGTGTGCAACTATCAACACAGTCTAATTTTACATTTTCATCCCCTCCAAACAACCCATTTGCAGTCAGTCCCCTGTATTCTTTTAGACTGGAAATTCATATTTGCATTACTTTAAATGCTGTTCATAACTAAGCTGTTCTAATTCTAGTTATGAAGAATTTCCCCTTTTAGAAGAGGCAGAGTTTTTAAGAGTTCAGGCTAAATGTTGTGATAGTGTGACAGTGGCTGGAGTAGGAGTTGAGGGTGGGGTTGAAGGAGGACTGTACATGCGGATTTGCCTCCGCTGGATTAGGTAATGTAGTACATAGTAGCCTCGTTTACCAGTCCAGGCTGCCCATGTAAATGAGCAGAAGAGTTTGATTTCTAAATTTAAAAAACCCACTTCACTTCTCCCCACTAATAGTACTAATCCTTTTGTTAATTTGAAAATGAGTAGAAAATAACAAAAACCATGAACTCTTTGTTGGGAAGCTTAGTACAGTTATCCCTGAAACCCGTTTCCTTGTTGGCTGCAGCTTTATGAATCTGTTCTGTTTAAGGTGTGTAAGGGACCTAGCTCAAACCTGCTAGGCACACGCGTGTGCGTGCACGCACACACACACACACACACACACACACACACAAACACAGTGTAACGTCTCTTTACTGTCCAGAAAGCTTTTTCTTAATAGTTCTATTTAAAATTAAAGAGTGCCTCTGATAGATTTATTTTTAAGACACACCAACAAAACCATGTGTCCTGAGTTTTGGTGAATCTGTGTTTTTAACAATCATTAAAACAGTTTTTTGTTGCAGCCCATTGAGTTTGGGGATTGACATTATTTACTTTATTGCCTTTTTCCCCAAACTGTGTTCTATGGAGATATCATAAATATGCTGCAATAAAATAGGTGCCATTTTAAATATGTTTGGGAAGCAATGCTATATGGGTAGATTTCTGCCCTTGGTGTATAATGCACATTATCATACAAAATGCTTTGAGAGGTTGTTTAGCAGAAACAAATGATGAAATCATTATCTAATTCTGTTTAAGCCAGCATTTTCCAAATTTATTTAAGCATGGAATACTGTTTTTATGACATACTTGTTAACATACCTTGGAACTGCATGAGGTATACCAGTTTAGGAAATACTACTTTTCTACTGGTTAGAAGCCTTCACAGGATTTCAGTGAAATTTATTGGAATAACATGCATTCTACTTTCTCATTATGTAGAAGGATTCTGTCTCTTCATAGTATTTTAAAAATAGCATTTATATTACAGAAGTAACCTGCTCATTGTTGAAGACTTACGGAGTCTCTGTGAGCTTTGACATTTATTTTTTTCTATTTTTTTAATTGAAGTATAGTTGATTTACAATGTTGTGTTAATTTCTGCTGTATAGCACAATGATTCAGTTATACATATATATACATTCTTCTTCATAGTCTTTTCCATTATAGTTTATCACAGGATATTAAATATTGTTTCCTGTGCTATACAAGCTTTGATTTTTAGTTTGTCTCAGCTCTGTCACTTTCCAGATAGGTGGCTTTGGGCAAGTTATTTAATTTGTATAAAATTTAGTTTCCTCATCTGTATAAAGGGCATTATTTTAGTACCTACTGCAGGTAGAAACTAGCTAGAGGAGATAATCCTTGTACTTAACACGTGGCTGGCTATTGAGAAACTCATTTAATCGATTATCGCACTAACTAGTTTTATTATTTTATTTTCTCCTTCTCCCTCTCTCTCTTTGTGTGTGTGTGTGTGTGTGTGTGTGTGTGTGTGTAGAACACACACAGTAGACATTTGACATTCTTTTCTTTTTTTTTAAACTTTTTATTTTATACTGGAGCATAGCCGATTAACAATGTTGTGATAGTTTCACGTGCACAGCAAAGCGACTCAGCCATACATATACAGGTATCCATTCTCCCCCAGACTCCCCTCCCATCCAGGCTGCCACATAACACTGAGCAGAGTGCCCTGTGCTGTACAGTAGGTCCTTGTTGGTTATCCTTTTTAAATACAGCAGTGCGTACATGTGGATCCCACACTCCCTGACTATCCCTTCCCTCCATCCTTCCCCCCTCCCCCCATAACCATAAGTTCATTCTCTAAGTCTGTGAGTCGGTTTCTGTTTTGTAAATACGTTCATTTGCATCATTTCTTTGACATTTAACATTCTGAAGTGTTCTGTCATAAGATCTTTGTGAATCTCCAATACTTGAATGGCATTGGGACATATATTTTTTTCTCCATAAGAGAATTTTAAGTGATCCTTTAGACTCCTGATGAGCTACTTTGTGTGCTATGAATAGAGAATAACAAAGCGGTGTGAGAAGCAATAGCTGGGTGGTTGGTTATCCAGGGCCACTCACTATTTGAATGACTTGCTTCTGTCTGGCAGCCTCTTCACATGTGCAATTCATATATTTGCTTTAGCAAAATTGCACAGACTTTGAGGATTGCTTGAGGGTAGTGGAAGTTGTATAAATCACATCCATGAATGCCAAAGAGTTATTATAGTCATGCATTTTGAACATATTAGGATTCACATTTTATGATACGTAGTTTTCTATTCTCCTTTTTTAATATGTATCATGAACATTTTCCTGTATATGTGTGTATTTTTAAAGGTACTGCAACAGCCACTTGCAGGTACTTGGCTTTATCCCGAAAAAAGAGAGGAAGAAAAAGAATGATCCTATAGATGAGGTAAAGGTCAGGCACCAGATGGATACCATGGCCTTTAGCCTGACGGTGCCCACGTTGGCCTTGAAGATGCCCAATGGACTGGATGGAATGTCCCTCTCTCCACCGGGGGCAAGGGTCCCTCTCCACTACCTGGAAACTGAGTTGGAAGACCCATTTGCTTTCAACGAGGAAGATGATGACCTAAAGAAAGGGGCAACTGTGAGAAAGAAGTTGCAGAGCAAGTTGGCCCAGAATCGGCAGCGCCAGAGAGAGACAGAGATTTTAAAAGTTCGACAAGAGCACTTTAGTCCCCCTCCTGCACCTTCTCAGCAGCAGCCTCCGCAGCAGCACTCCCACCTGTCACCTTTATCCACCTTAAAACCTCCAGCGCCACCGCAGGGTCTAGTCTGCAAGTCACCTCAACCTCAGAACACCAGCCTACCAATGCAGGGAGTGGCCCCCACTCCACACACTATAGCACAAGCCAGGCAGTTGTCTCACAAGAGGCCTCTGCCCCTCCTGCCATCTAGTAGGGCTCCCGTCGTGGACCCGCCCAGGACTGACCGGGTCCTTATGAAAGCCACAGCCTTCTCTCCACACTTCTCTTGTATAAGTCGACTGCAGAGACTGGTGAAACTGTGCACCCAAAAACATCAGCTGGACACTGATCTGTTTCCCCATTTAGGTGAGTTACCGTCTCTTTTACCATATCATGTGTGTGTAATGTGACAAGATGTGCCTATTGCACAAGGTTTTATTTTCATAACCTTCTCATGTAATAGGAGTAAAAGAATACTTGGACAGAGTGGTCAATTAAAGATTCGTATTTAGGTAGACCGCTTTAAAGTAAATATGCTACTGGACAGGACAGTGACTGGTGAACAGGTTACAAAAGAAATAGGAGCTGGGAATTTAGAATTCCAGTTATAGCTTCTAGCAGTAGTAGTAGCAGTATTAAAAGCAGTTGTGTTTGGTTTTGTGCCTCTGAGCTCAGTCCCTGTGTGTCTAATGAAGTTCTCCACATGTCTTATCACAGGACTTTGGAATAAGATAGCATTGTAAATACCTGCTGACAGTTTTCTGAAAAAAAAAAAAAAATTCTTAAAGTAATACCTGTTCACGATTGAAAAGCAAAAAATTACAGATAAAACTTTAATGTAGTCAGATGTCTGTCTTTCCTTTGTTGCTTCTGAGTTTTATCTTACTCAAGAAAATCTCTCTGATAGCGAGTTTATACAGTTATTCTGTATTTTCTATTAATAGTTTGTTTTGTTTTATTTTTGATCATTTAAGTCTTTGATTCACTTGGAATTTATTCTTGAATGTGTTGAGTTGTGATTCTAACTTTAGGAAAAATTATTTGCATGACATATGACAGCAATAGAAAAATGGGAAAAGGATGGGAATAGAGGAAGAAGAAATATAAATGGTCAATAAACAAATGAAAACCTCAATCCTCGTAACAGACGAGGAAACGCAAATTAAAGTAACAATGAGTTACCATCATATTGGCAAAAAGTGTATCTGTTGTTGATGAGGATATGGGATCTCATACTTTGCTGGTGAGTAATGCAACAATATATGCTAATTAAAAGTATATGTATAGCCAGCAAGCTCACTTTTGGGACTCTATCTATGGATAAAAAAAAATATCAGAATGTAAGGATATGTGTTCCGGGATGTTTACTACAGCATTGCTTACAGTATTGCTTGCAGTATTAAAAATCTGAAAACAACCTTTATAACCTATAGGAAATTCAGAATTGAGTAAATTCTGGTACATATACATTTTATGAAGTATGCAGCTATTAAAAAGAATGAATGAAATCTCCATCTTTTACCTGGATGTGCTCATGATACATTAACAAGTAGAAAAATACCAAGAGGTATTGTACTGTCCCGTGTTTGTAAAAATAAGCAAAGTGAACAAACAAGGGACACCAGTATATCTATTGATCAATCATATGGATAGATGTATGCCTCTCTGGTATGAGCATAGTTAAAGTGTGAATGGATGTACACTATCAGTCTGTTAACGTTGGCTACCATGGCGGGGGATGGAATCGGACAGGATGTGTTTTGGGGGGATGGGAGTGATATTTCTTCTTCTATAGCTTCATATTATTTCATTTGTTATTAAACCATGTATGACTTTTGGTAATTAAAAAAACTAATAAAACTTAAAGAAAAAATATAGATAAGCAAAGTAATAAATTAAAACACCCCAAGCCTTATTAATACCTATTTGTTAATATCTTGGCATATTCTTTTAGATATATAAAAGTAAGTTCCTGTTGTATGTACAGTATTGTAACCTGTTTAAAAATGTTTTGTAATGTATTATCACGTTAGTAATTTTTCATACACAGTTTGTCACAGCTGAATTCTTTCTTGAATTTAAATCATTTCCAATTTATTAAAGTGTAAAGTGTTGTAGCTATATAGACCTCTCAGTAAAATAATTACCGTCACGTCTTTAATTTTTCCTTCAAATAGATTCCTGGAAGCAGAATTGCTGATCCCAAGCTTTTGCACTTTTTTAAAAAGCTTTTTGATGTATATGGCCAAATTTTCCTTCAGAATTATTTTGTCAGTTTACTTTTCTTTCAGCAGTGTATGAGAATGACAGTTTCTCTACATCTTTATAGCCCTGGATATTAGATATTATTATTATTATTTAGCCTTTGCAAATTTGATAGAAAGTTTGCTTTAATTTGCATACCTTAGATCAGTGTTTCTCAAGTGTTTGGCCTGAGAATCACTTTTTTTGCACTCTCAAAAATTATCGAGGACACGGTAGAGATTTTGTATATGTGAGTTATATTTACTGATATTTACTGAATTAGAAGTTAAAACTGAGAAATTAAAAAAATACTAATTCATTTTAAAATAACAATAAATTTACTGCATGTTAACATGTTCTTTTTATGAAAAATAACTGTTTTCTAAAACAAAAACACATATAATGGGGAGGGCAGCATTGTTTGACGTTGTTTAGCAAATCTTAATGTCTGATGTGCTAGATATGTGCTTCTGCATTCAATGTGTCCTGATATGTGATTTTTTTTTTTTCTGGTTAGGAGATAAAAATATGGCCTTACACATTTGTAGCTGGAAAATGGAGGGATATTTTAATAGTTTTTTCCAAATAATTGTAGATATTTGTAATTGGTTCTACACCAAAACTTGACAAGTGGTAGTTTCTTAAAAATTAGTTTCACATGGAATCTGAAACCATATCTAGGAATTTTTCATACTGTTACATTAAAATCCATTGTGTTTTTTTTTTTTTTTTTTTTTTTTTTTTTGGTTTGTTGGCCTTTTCTTTTTTTTGTCCTCTCCTTTTTCGTGGCTCACGCCCCGGGCGCGCCGGTCCACCCGCC